TTGATACAAAACTTTAAGGATCATTAACTGTTATTTGCTATAAATATTTCTTTAGTGCGTGGAGTTCTTTTTATCTGTACATGTATATTTAGCTCTCTCGAAAACTATTTTATAATTCGAGATAACTTATAGATAAGTTATCACAATAAAGAGAAATACTTTCTGTAATTAATCAAAGAAATACTTCTCCTAATAATATTACGTTTGAAATCTATCAACCGAGGTCAAAACAATGAGCGTGCTAGCCTAGTGTGATTGCGATTTGTTACGCGAACACCTATGAGTGACCTCCACCTGTAACACACTCGCACAAATTGCGGATAAATTACGCGCTTCCTACTGTATAATCATTAACGGAAACAAAAGCCAGAACATGATCGCGCAGCGAATGACAGCATGAAGTGTTGCCGTTTTCCACGCACCGGTAATCCCAGCATCCCAATAATTCACATCTCTCGTCGTCGCCCGCTTCACTCTCGTGACCGCGAAATCGCACTCGCGACGCGGGTAACGCGTCATTTCGCACCTAATCGACAGGTTCCTGTAGGAACAATCGTTCACCTTGAAGACGGCCGCGCAACATCGGAGAAGAATGCGTTCTTATTCGTTTCTTGTTCGAAGAACGTTCGTACACCAGGCGTCGTGGACTGGACGATAAGGACCGGCGGACGTAAATACTGACAGCGATTTGGTCAGCGGAAGTGACACTGACTATCCGGACGGGGCACCCATCCCGTCCGAGCGCGTGCCCACTATACGTCAACTCCTAGCCACGAGGAGGAATTGTCAATCAGCGCGCACATACTCACACTCAATACTCATCGCAGCTGCAGCCGGTGCAGTCTCACCGTGGATGCCTCTCGGCTAATCATCGGAGAACGTCATCACGCCTACGTTCGCGGCCGGCAACCTGTCAAGCGGCATAAGACCTGATAATAAACATGATAATAAGTATACATGCGAGTCGGCTCTTTTACATGCAATCTCTTGAGTGTCTCTTTATTCGCTTTCCTTTGAGATTTCTCGTAGCAATCCGGAAACGGTCTTTATGCCTGAAAACGTCATCAATGGATCGATCATTTGTCAATTATAAGGGATTGAGATGATCAATTTGTAATTATAAGACGTTGAAATATGAACGGAGGGATATTCACGAGAGATATTCATGAGAAATGTTCCGTTTAAGTCTCTGAATTGTAACTATAATGTATAATTTAACTCATAAATGAGTGAAAAGAGCGATATTATTCGGTCGAGACAGGTCTTACCTAATAAAATATATGTATACATTTTTATAATTAATTCCAAAAACACTGCATACTGATTATATTTGTGTCGGTCTTGAAACACAGTTTTAGACTGGAGCAATGTCACAAATTAAATTGACAGGCAATTTAATATTATTGATGCTAATAAGCGTCTTCAAAGCACTAAATAATTTCTCGATCTATTTTCACTTTATATTGATATTGTTAACCCACAAACACGAACATTGAATCTATTATAATCCTACATTAAAATTGGCGTGTCACATTTTTTTGAAGCCTCTTTTCAAAGGGGTGTTAGAGTACTCCGATTTCGATGTAGCTTCGTATTCGGGGATTTTAGGGATTGCTCGTTCCGAAACCGTGATGAAAATTTCGAAATTCAAAATGGCTGAACCAATATGGCAGACGGAAATGTTACCGAAATCTTAAATGTTTTCCGATTTCGGAGAAAATTGATATGATGAGGTTTGAGTGGCACCCAGTTGGACACGGCTCAATTGCACATGAGCCATTCACAGCGCTTGATACTACAAAGCTCCTAAGCACCGGTCGCTGTGATTGGTCGTCCAATCGAGCCGTGATCAATCGAAATCACCCCATGAGGTTTAGGGCGCGCTCGTTCCGAAATTACGATAAAAATTTCGAAATTCAAAATGGCTGAACCAATATGGCAGACGGAATTCTTAAAGGTTTCCCTATTTCGGTAAAATTCGTATAAGGGGGATTTCGGGGTCGTTGATTTCGAATCTGAGTCCAAAATTTAAAAAATTCAAAATGGCTGAACCAATATGTAGGAAGGAATTCTTAAAGGTTTTCCGATTTCGGTGAAATTTCGTATAAGGGGTATTTAGAGAGCGATTATTTCGAATTACTCTTCAAAACATGAAAATTCAAAATGGCTGAACCAATAAAGCTCATAGAATTCTTAAAGGTTTTCCGATTTTGGTAAATTATAGTATAAGGGGGAATTTAGGGAGAGCTGATTGCCAATATGGTGGACGGAAGGGTTAATGGTGGAAGGAAAGGAAATCCTAAAGGTTGTAACGGAAATGTAACGCAAATGTAACGGAAATGTAAGGCAAATGTAACGGAAATGTAACGCAAATGTAACGCAAATGTAACGCAATTGTAACGCTAATGTAACGTAAATGTAACGCAAATGTAATGGAAATATAACGCAAATCTAACGCAAATGTAACGCAAATGTAACGGTAATGTTACGTAAATGTTGCGGAAATGTTACGTGAGTGTTACGCAACTGTTACGGAAGTGTTACGGAAATGTTACGTCAGGTTTCTTATCAATGCAGCGGAATAGCGTAACGCGGAACGAGAGCAGAACCAATCACAAGCGTTTCGCGCCAACTGCAATTGGTGCGAAACGCTTGTGATTGGTTGTGCTCTCGTTCCGCGTTACGTTATTCCGCTGCATGTGTTAGCACCCTCATCGTTACGGAAATGGTATGGAAATGTTACGGAAATGTCAAGCTGGAAACACAATAGACACAGGCAATAGGCACAGGCAGCAGGGAATAACGAGCCGTCCAATCAGAGCTTTGGAGTATAAGTTCGATATTATATCCCTGAGCTCTGATTGGACGGCTCGTTATTCCCTGTTGCCTGTGGCTATTGCCAGCTTTACATAAAAAGGAGAATATAATAGAGGAGCGCGCGCATGGGATGTGCTAGTTCTTATAAAAATTAACATTCCATTTCCTAAATTATAAGAATATATTTAAGGAATTAGAGAATAATTATTCTGTGAATAATAATAAAATCTAAATAGAAATAAAAATAAAAATAAAAAATGAATTAAGGACGAAAAATTAAAATTATAATTTTGACTTCTCTGTAAAAAAAAAAAGGCAACTATTTTTGTTTTATCTGAAAAAATCGGTGTAATAACTTCATTTTAAATCGAAAAATTGCTTTAAATTTTTGACAGATTAATCCAAATATTATGTGTGTCAATTCATGCTAACAACGCATCGTTTGTCTTCGTTTAACATTTAACAAACAAGGATGAATGATTTTTGAGCATGTGAGCGTTAATCAGACCGCGGCCTATATACATATATAGTATAATATTATATTAATCCAAAAATTTTTTAATTTTCTGTTCAAAAAACTGTAAACTCAAGAATTTCATTTTTGCTCGTATCGTGCAAAATCTTAAACATCATGTTTTCTTTATCTTTTATTACTTTTTTCGAAACATATTCGTTATGTTGAAACAGAAAAATAGGTCTGCGACTACGTGCAACAATTTCCTGCTTGTCATGACCTATAAAAAAATCAATTATGTATATAATAATTGCAGAAGGTGACATGCTTTATTTTTCGTCTGTGATTAATCGACTTCTCCATACACATACTTGCACACGCATTAACCAAGTGGATAAACTTCAACTGTCGAGACACATTTAATTTGTTCTTTTCAGCTGAACTTGTGTTATTCATTTTCCTTCTTTTTCTTTCCACATCGGAGATATAAGGTGCGTGGAAAGAGAGAGATGATCAGTACAAAAAGAATAGAAAAAGAATAGACTTGTTGATTAATTGTAAACAAGTTTTCTCATAGTTGTTTTTCGTATAGCATACTCGAAATATTTTGTTAGCAAGCGTATTTAACCTGCCACACGAAAAGCAGGTACAATATAACAAGAAAAGAGTGATAGACAAAAACTTCAAACTGACTTTATACCGCGCTAATAGCCGTTTACACAGGAAATGACGACATGCGACCACATGGCAAGAAGTTGCGCGGCAGCCAATCAAACTTTTTCGGAGAAACGGTTAGGTTATTGACTGTCGCGCTCATACTTCATTCATTTGTTGAGATATTCTGTTCTATCACGTTGTATTTGCCAATACAGCTGAGATAATCTGATTGATTCCGATTTCTTCATTTATTTCTAAACGTGCAGTTTAGTTGGACGGATCATATCCTACTAAAGATAGGTATTTGCAGATATTCATTAAAGATAGAAGTTGCAATTAGAAGATATATAAGTGCGGCTGTACGGAGGTTAAGTTGCAAAGGATTACAAGTCAAGGAAATATCAAAAAATGTTTATATATATATATATATATAAGGTCAAGAAAATTAAAGTTATTTATTGTAAAAAGTAAATAATTATGAGTTTGATTGCAATATAGTCGAACATAACACCTTTCTTTTAAAATTTGCTTACACATGTCCCATACATGTACTTATTGCATGTTTATAAAGTAACGAAAAAAGACATGATTAATTCGTTACCTAAAATGTAACTGCATTACTGTTACTAATAAAAAATTAACGTTACCAATTCCTTACCTAACAAAAAATAATAGTAATGGTGCTACAAGTAATGCATTACTTCTCTCTCAATCTAATATATTATTTCCCATGGCAATATAGCATGCCTTCTCGAAGATGCTATTAGTATTATTTATATTATTCTAGCCTTATCATTCATGATAAAGCATTAAAACAAAGGGTTAAAATAAGAATAGAATAATATAGTTAGTGCTCCCTGAACGCATCTGTAATATGGTAAAATATATTGCACAATATATTATAATATGAATTAGCATATTCACAATAGAATTAAATATATATTATCACATATATCTTTGTAATATTTTTAAATACTGATTCTTTACATCATTTCTTCTATACCAATTTTCTTTTATAACAAAATCTTTTTATTTGATTTTATATATTTTTCTTTTTTTAATTGCTAAATTTTTACAGAAAGTGGACCCTAATGGAAAGCCTACGATGTCCGCACATCCAGGTAAATTTTTACACTTTTGTTACATAGATACTTTATGTAAAATAAAAAAAAAAACAAAAGGCACAATATTGAATGTTTTTTCAGCTCGATTTTCTGTAGAGGACAAATATTCAAGAGAAAGGATTACAATGAAGAGAAGATTTGGCCTACTATTAACGCAACAACCACAACCTAATTACTAATATTAAATATATAATTAATTTTATTCGAAAATATAAAATACAAACGAAAGAAAGTGTTATGATGTGGCCTGATACAACCGAGTACGATAATCTATATCTCAGTAAAGGGGTGGTTCAACTTTTACACCCACAACTTCCTTTAATGATAACGAGGAAAAATCTCTGTACTCAAGATTATTATTCTACATCATGGAATTGCATCCATTGTTGCAACTTCATAACAACCTTAATAAGAAATTGTATTTCCACTGGAAACTTTTCAATGTAATGACTTAGATGTCAATTATTTTGTATATTCTGTTCCGTTGATAATAAATAAATCATTTCTGACGTATCAATATTCATTGTCGATACATATATTTACTGTACAAATTTCATTTACAGTTTATTATCTTCGCACATTATATAAAAATAAAAACTTATATACACAGTACTTTTCCTGACTTGCAAAATATAATAATTTTATTTCCAAAATAGTAATAGATTGCTTATTTGCAATCTTATTACTTTAATGTGAATAGCATGCTTGTCAAAGCTTGCTAAATTAATAACATACTGAACGTATACTATGATATATAACAAAAATTTTTAATATAAAGCGGATATTAATTTCCACTCAACTATTGTACAATTCTTAATTATTAACATATTAATGTATAATTTTATTTCATTTATTAATATTAAAAAATATAATAAAATCTATATACAATATCCTTTATCACAATTATACATCAAATGCAAGCATTTAATTGTCAACGTTATTTAGAATAATGCATAATTACGTAACTTTTAAAATGGATATGCATAGTTGATAGAATATATATATGAAAATGAAAAGTAAATTAAACATGATTGTATTTTGCGTAAAAACAAATTTTATGCGAATTGATTTTTTCCATTTTTATGAATTTTGAAGATTATATATCACAATTTGTATATGTGTATGTAGTTAAAATGCCAATATCCGTATTTATATAAAATGAATACAAAATATGCTTACTACATAACTCTAATCCAAAAAAAGCTAAAATGTAATATTACAAATTTGTTTAAATAGATATATGTAATATTTGATTTATGTTTATTCTTTAAGTATATATTACAGCACACATAATTTTGAGTATTAAATTAGGACATTGTAAACATTTATTGTTTAAATATTATAAATGAAGTCCTTTTTTGCATAGGAAATATAATATACAAAGTTTAAATTACAATTCTGGGTATATTAAACTGATTAAATTGAAATTTTTAACAAATATTAAAAAAATATATAATTTAATATAGATTTTAATTAATTTAAACTTATACACGATCTTATGCAATATTTTAAAAACATAAAAGTAGCTTTATTCAAGTAATAATGACATTTTATTTAGAATATAACACAATAAAATATTCGATTAAAGTATATTTTATTAACTATGCATCCCCAACTTTTATATATATATAAATATTTGGTACAACATATTACCACCAAAATTATATTATCCTTATTATATTAAAAAATGATTTGACTATACATATTTTAAACGTAGGATCAACAAATATAATAAAAATAGATATTTTCGCTAAATATGTAATAAATATAATAGATAGCATAAATGTATTACGTTATTTGATAGAAATACTTTCCACAAAAAATTGATGTAATAAACATAGTTTTGTATAAATTTTAAAATATCTGCAACTTAATGACTATGAATAATCAAGAGTATTTTGTGATTAGCTTACATTTATAAAATTAAAAAATTATAAATAGAAGATCAATAATATTCTAGAAAACATGGCAACACAAGAAAAATGTATCTAGTAATCCAATTCTGATGCGCAAACACTAACAAATATAATGTAAATTGTTTTTCTTCATATAGATATATTTTTTAATTGAACTATAAGTATTATTAAACGAACACAATATATTTTTACATAGCATTAAATAAATTCCTAGTTTACGTATCAAATTTATGTCCATAAGGATTTACTACATGTTACAATTTAATAACATAGTAAAAATATGTAACATTTATTCACAAGCTTATGAGTATATTGCTAACAAATATTTGTACAAATTTTACATGTATTTATACTTTATAAAAGAAAAATTCTTATATTACCATCTTTCTTAAGATACTAAGACGGTACTAAAATATTTAAACAAAAAAATGATAGTAGAGCAAACAAGATTCAGCTGTTGCTAAATTGTAAATAAATGTGGAACAAAAAAGAAAATAGAAAATGAAAGAAAACATCGTATATGTAATGCAAAATGACAAAAATATATAAGTACATAATTTAGGATATAGATAGCAAGCTCTCTCAATATTTATCATAACTGAATCGTTGAGAATTGTCGAGAAGTAGAATATTTTCTATATTTTTTTCAATATGTTCTAGCTACCTCATATTATTGCAATTACATTACTTTCAGATAAAATATAATTCAATTATAAAATGTAATAATTATATATATTAAATACAATATTTCAATACAAAATTCGAGTATATACTTAGTTAGAGAAGCTTTAGAATCTTCATAATTTTTAAATAAGGACATATTTTATGGCATCATTATCATAATTATTAATCAAAAAGTTCATTTTTTTTTTAAATGAGTGGCTTTGGTAATAGAGAATTGAAGTGAACTGTAAATCTTATAGAAATAAATAAATATTAAACTATTGTATTTAACGCCGATTTGGTTATTTCAAAATATTAATTTATATGATAACATAAGTCTTATCTACTATGAATTTAAAATGAGGTATTTACATAATTATATATTCACTTTGATACAAAAAATAACTTGCAATTACTTCTAAAACTCTTCCTAAATAAAGATGTTCATGACTCGTTACGCACAAAATCAAAGAACATGTATACATCTTTAACAACAATTTATACATCTTTAATTGATTCTGATGGAGCTGCTGGCAGAACATGCACCTGTTGTGCTTTACTGGCATTATACACTTGTCCCGGACTAAATGGTTCTAATCGAGGACCAGATCCTAAATCATTTTTATTACGGACGATATCTTAAAATGGAAACAAATAAAAAACAATTACAAAAATTCATACAACTTATAGGTAAACGTAATATTTTTTTCTTTGAAATTATAATTGATAATTTTCGATGAAAATTAGATAAATTTGTTCACAAATTAAACAATGTCGGTAATATTTTTAGGCATATTATACAAAATATTTAAACTTACCATTTTTCGATTCTGTTGCAGGTATATACCGAGATAATCTAACAACAGGGAGAGGCAAATAACCACTTGTCAGAGGCATTACATCTAATGTAACGCTTTGTTTCTCTACTATTTCTAACGATACAATGCCTGCTGTCCGACCACATACCGCCCACATAGTTTGGTCCGCCAAAACCTCGTACATTAACTGTGGTGGAGGATTTGAACTAAGACTAGGTATGCGCATTACTGTAAGACACAAGTGGCACATACTACCAGCACGACAAAACTCTCCACCACTTGTTTCGACTTTCGAGGATACTGTGAATAAAGTCTGGAAAGCATCGTTACAAAAATAAGTTATATATTCCTAATATATAATAAGAATACAGAGCATAAATTTTTACAAGTAGCATAGATACTACATTATTACAGAATTGCCATTAATCCATGACTTCTTATTTAAAATAAATAAAATATTTTGAAGAAGATATACAATATGTAATTGTATACATTTAACATATCAATTAATAATTAGTAGTTTTTCTTACCACATAATCTGTAATATCAAAGTTGCATCTGTAAACACTACATGCTTTCTCAATTCTTTCTAGATTATGTATATGTAGTGGATCATCATCAACACGTGTATCATTTAATTCTTCAGTATCATTAACTGATATATATTTTACACGAAAGTCAGTCTTTATTGGTATCGTAGATTTTTCATCTTTCCCAATTTCAAATTCCCACATAAAGGAAACGTTCATTCCATTACCTATAACTAATTTCTGACCCGCGATAGGATTTAAACTTTTAAAGTTAACGTCTATTGACGAAATTGTCATTAATTCAGGCTCAGTTAATTGTAGAAGCTGACTTGTCAAACCAGTTACGACTATTTGAATGAATTTTCTTTGTTTTGCTGTGTGAAGTTTCATACTTGACATTAATGGTGGACCAAAATGCAAAGGTATGCTTTCTTCCGAACCCCATGGACATTGAATATTCAACTGAAAACAATGTCAAGTTATGATATTTATTGCACAAAAGAGAATAACATAAATTACAAATGTTAAATACTTTATGTTCCATAGATGAAGAATCCTTCTTTGGTGGTAGTTCAGCTAAAATCTTTAACTGTATTTTTATGGTTTGAAATGGTTCACACGTTGGCAGTGGTATCTCTAACTCTTTTATCATTACTTTTTCAACACTTTGTGACTGTACTGTCAATCCGCGTGATGTACGTAATTTTAATTTCATTTCTTCGGTTATTTTTGTACTTCCGCTCGATATAACCAATTCAATATCTTGAGTAAGACCTGCCAATAAATCTCTGCCACATTTTACGGATATCGTTGGCTGTGTCTTTGCTACTTCGTAGCATAATCTTGGATTTAGTACAGATGATAAAAATTCTAATTTTTCTTCTATCACCAATGATAACTGGCTAACTTTGTACAAACCCGGTTGATTCACTCGTCTTGTTAAGACGAATGTATTTACACCAGGTTTCATAACGAATTCATCACAGGAAAGTGCTTTGCTAAAATCACCCTTTATATTAATTGAAGGTTTTCTATGTTTTGCGCTATCTGAACGTCTCACGAGCGGCTTCATATTTTTACTAATAATGCTAGCGGAACCAAGACTTCTATCTTCCTTGTAATCCAAATAAGAATATACTTGCAAACGTAATAAACTGAGATCAAGTAGTTTCATATCTTCTAATGTGCACTTTGATAACCTGAGCAACAAAACAAAGTTGAACAAAAATTTAACGTATAGAAAATAGAAATACTAAAAAAATAAAATAAGCACTATTGTACATATGATATTAAAATAACAATGTAAATACATTATTTTTTACAATTTAATTTTAGAATTTCTTCTCTGTAGTATATATTAAACATTATATATAAAATTTTTGTAAATAAAAGTATTTATAACTTCATTCATTAATACTTACAATTGAACTGGAGGGTCAATAGATTTTAATCCTTTTTTCTTATTAGGTATAGATGGCTTTTGCATTTCCTCTACAGAAATAGCGGCGCCAGTGCATCTTACTT